GGATATATTAAAATAATATTTAAATAAAATAATTAAAGTTGATTTGATGTAAAATATGAGAAAAATTATTGGAAGTCATAATTAGTTAAAATTATGTGAGTGGATGAATAGTGAATTAAAGTTGATGTGTAAAAATGATTAGTTGATATTATTTAATTATATTGATAATATTGGAGATAGTAAGGTTGAGTTAAATTTGAGTTTTGATTAAATTTTTTACTGTATAAACCATATTAAGACGCTCTCTAAGTAATCATTAATTTCGTAAATGAGCTATGTGGTACATTTTTCTCTGTATATCAAACTATATGATAAAGTTTTTAGCACTTGGAGAGACCAAAGGGCCCCTACACAAAACATAGGATTGGGCGGGCATCAGGGGCGAAACTACACTATACCTTGCCTCCCCTCAAATTTTAATTTTTTTTAATATTATAATTAAAAAAATTAATTTGCTTTAATTTTTTTTACTATTATAATTAAAAAATTAAATTTTTCCCCTCTTAGATGATTTTTTGCTCCCCCAAAATTTTTTGTCATGTCTTTTTGCCCCTTCTCAATTAATTTTTTGGTTTAGCCACTGAGGGGATACTATCCTGCCTTTGCTTGCCTAAGTTGTTAGAAACTATACAATGAGATTAGTTGTTTATTCATCGCTCTGTACTTGACTGTGATTAATGTGGTGTGAAATTATATGAAATGTTCACAATTATTTAATAGGAAGCAAAGAGTAGGGTTTATTTATCCGGCCGAAAATCCAAAATTTGGCCGGATATTTTAATAAAACATCTAATTAATTTCCAATTGAAGTTTATATTTCTTGACTTGTTAACTTCCAATTAGTCAATTTCAAAAGTTATATACAGGACTACTATTAACTACCTCTATTCTATTAAGAATATTTTTTTACATTTCAAATTTAGGGAATGTTTTTAAAATTTTCCGCAATGATGTCAAACTAAAATTACGTTCCAGTATTCCACATGTCCTCTGTTATATTGTTTTCTGGGATTATATGTCACCAAACCTATATGTAAGAGCCAATTTTGTTATAC